TTTCAAATATAAATAAATTTCACAAAATGAGAGTAATAAAATTTTTTCATTCAAATAGTTCCCAATGCATCATTTAACAAAGTATTTCAAAATAAGGATGGATTACAATTTGAATCAAATAATAGCTACAGGACTTAAATAATACATTTCAACTAATAAATATTCTAAGTCCTATAGCAGTATCATCCATCCCTTCACTGAGTTCGGTGATGATCGTTTTCGTCACTTGAAAAATAAATGTAAGGGTGAGTACTTTATACTACCAAACACACACAAGTATAGAGTCTTACCTGACATGTTTTCACACATTCCTAACATATTTCAGATTATTCATCAACAACTCAAAGCAATAATTTAAATATTACATTTTCATTTATGTACAGATGCGCTCACTACACCATCAAACAATCCACACACGGGTGCATTCATTGCACCTCAATCATTTCACACCCATACGTGCGCTCACTACATGTAGTCACGCTCACTGTGGCGCTATGATAACAGATTCTTGATGCCCTCAACCTTAGGGACTTACTCAGTTTATACCATAGATGGTTGTCGATAACCCTCGCCTCATAGATACAATGTGCATGGTCACGGGATCCCTTAGCAAAGGTGTTAGTTAGAAGCCGAGTCAGGAGGAAAGCGTGTGGCCTGTATTTCACCCACGCTTACTGTTGGTGTCACCACCACCCTCTCTTCCCCAAGGTATTTTTACCGCCCCCATCTTCTACACCTCAGTATATCGCTGAACTATTCATAGTTTTCCAACATATTCAAACACATCCACATTCACATTTAACATACTATTCATGCACATTTCCAACCACATTGTGGTAAACCATTTCAACACATCCACAAGCAAAAGCAACCACATTGTATTCCACACAAAGTTTCCATTACAATCCAATTGCAATCAACCATCTCATCACACACTCTATTCATCATCAACCGCATTACATTCCATCAATCTTTCTATATTAATCTCACCATAATCAATTAATTTCACCAAAATATACATTTTTCTATGTTCTATCTCAATCACATTTTAATACATAGCAATATAAATGAATTCTAAACACAAAAGAGATAGGGTAGAGTCTCCCCTTTACCTCAAAGTGAAGACCCACAACGCAAATCAACAATGAAAAAGTCTCCCACATGGATTTCATCCTAAATACATGGAAGAATTCCATGAGAACCCAAAAAGAACCAAGAAAACAGAGAAGAGAGACGAAAACCGAAACCCTAGCCATTAAAACTCACCTCCAAAAGCTCCAAACATGATTCCAACCTTCAATTTTGTTTTCAAACGGCTTTGGAGACAATTTAAACAGTAAAATAGGGTTTTGAGTCGAGAGAATCAAAGAGATTTCGAAGAGAGGAATAGGAAATGAATTTTTCAAACCATAAACTCCTCAAATACTCCTCTGATCGCGATACTCTCACTACAACAAGCCATCTCTCGCTGCAGCGAGAGGCTCGCTGTAGCGACACCCCCTCTCCTATAGCAAAAATCTCAGAGAAAACTGCACTATGATTTCTGCAAAATCTTGCTTCAACAAGATTACACCCAGAAATACACCTTTTTTTATTGCCTTCTCGCTACAATAAGAATGCAATAAATTTATGCCCTTCGCCTAGGGCCTTCTCACTACAGCAAGAACCCTCTCGCTACAGCGAGAATACCCTACAATACACACTTAGCCAATTTTTCAATCCAATTCCAATTCAACTACCAGTGAAACATTCTCAATCAATTCACATATATTCCTTCACACTTATTCACATCATAACACAAATCAAATGCACATTGCAACATCAATTTACATATTTATTTTAATAATCAAATAATTTACAAAACTCGAGGTGTTACAACAAGTCAGGCCAGACTTTACTTTAAACAGGCCCGACCTGTAACATAATTATTAAGCCTAAGCCTAGTGACTTTATTTTTAGACTGACCTAACCTATTTAGGTGGCCTAGTTTGGCTTGAAGTCTGTTAAAAAAGTTTGTTACAAAAAAAATATTTTAATATTAATGAAAATATAAATATTTTATTATCACATTAGTTTACATATTTTTTAATTTTCATTTGTGTCATTGATAATTATTAAATAATTATAATATTTTTATATAATTTTATAAATAATTTTTAAAATATTACTTGAGCATTAATTATAAATGTTTCATATTAAAAAAATTTGTATTTTTATTTTTCTTGATTTATTTTTAAAAAATTATTAAAGTATTAAATATTTTTTTAGGATCATATTTTATTTGTTTAAAGACATCTTATATTTAATTAATAAAGTCATAGTGAACACATAAAATTGATCACAAAAAACAACATTCACACAATTTGTTGAATTAGCTAAAAAAAATTATTATATTTTAAAAAATAAATAAATTTAAACTCAATGCAATATATATATATATATATATATATATATATATTGAAAATAATAATAACTATTAAATTAAAAAATAACATAATTATGAAATATTTAATTTTATTTGCTTCATTAATTTGTTATTTTAAGATAACAAATACACGTAAAATTAACTACATTATAACATTAATGTAATATAGAAAAATATTACTGATATAATAAATTAAAATATATACTTATATATTACATATAAATTAATAAATTAACTAATAATTTAATTTTTTATTTATATAAATATTTACAAATTGTTAATTTTAAATGTACTTTAATAACTATATTTTTTTAATAAAGAAATCTATCTACATCTATATCAAATTCGTTAAAAATATTTATTTAAAATTTTATGTATCTATATTTAGGTGTTATCTTAAAATTTTTTATGAGTATTGTACCCAAAAAAAATTTACACAAAAAAATAAAAAATAAAACATGTGACAAATTACAAAAGTATATATTATTATATATATAATTTATTTAAAATTATATTATTTATATTATTTGCTACACTATAGTCCTATTATATATATATATATATATATATATATATATTATATTAATATTTTTTTATTTTGTTATCATTTTTATAAATTTTTACTTTTGAATAAAATATAATTCATATTTAAATTATAACATAATATATTAATATAACAATTAAATATTAATAATAATAAAATTAAAAATATAAAAAATTATATTAATATAATATTATTATTTTATTTTTAAATTTTAATTCGTTTAGTTTTGATTATGTTATATTCCTGTTTAAGTCACTTAAACGTTTTTCAGTTTATTTAAATATAACAAATATAATAATTTATTATTAAATTAATTTATTATTTAAATACGTGTAATCGTATCTTAATATTTTTAGTTTCAAATATAATATAATTTTTATTTATTATAAATAAAAAAATTATTATATAACATATTAATATAATAATTAAATATTAATAATAATAGAATTAAGAATATAAAAAATAATTTAATATAATATTAATATTTTTAAAATATTATTTGAGCATTAACTATTAATATTTTTATATTATAAAATTTTATATTTTTATTTTTTAATTTATTTTTATAAATTATTAAAGTATTAAAGATTTTAATTATTTTTTATGATAATTATATTTTATTTGTAAAGACATCTTATATTTAATAAATAAAATTACAGTAAATACATAAAATTAATAACTAAAAATAATACTCACAAAATTTGTTGAATCAGTTAAAAAAATTATTATATTTAAAAAAGTAAATAAATATCATCATTGTAAAAATTATAGATAAAAAATATTTATATTATAAAATTCATGAGTGTAGAAAAATAACATGTAAGCATAGTAAGGATAATAGAATTTATATTTAAATTAAAATAACTTATATTTCTAAACTTTTATTTTAACAAAAAAAATGTGATAACACTTAATATAAAAATTTAAATTGAATACATTAATTATATATATATATATATATATATATATATATATATAATATGACAATAATAATAGCTATTAAAATAAAAAATTAATTATAAAATATTTAATTTTATTTGTTTTATTAATTTATTATTTTAAATTAATAAATATATAAAATTAATTACGTTATAACATTAATATAATATAACTACTTCATAGATTTATGCTTGCGAATTTCATAGTCACTTTGTAGATTAGATCACTTCATATTTTGAGTTTTGTAAAATTTTTAAATATTTTTGTGTTTTTATAATAATTTTTTGCCTTTAATTTTTTAAAATATAAATATAAAGAATTTTACATTATTTCTTTTTTTATTATAAATTATTATCGGTATTAAATAAAAAATTAAAAATGTTACCCATCCTTTTATTGTCTCAAACTCGGTGGCTAATAAATTCGTAACGCTCTAAGTTGAAACAAATAAACATAGAATAAGCTGTTAGTTTAATTCCTTGTTGATGCAAATTAGTCGCTCATCATAATTCCTTCTTCTATCACAATGCTCGTCCTCTGCAAAGCAAATGAAAGCATGAAAATGGAAAGCAAATGGTCAGAAAAATATGAAAGTAATTGAGAAAGATTAGGGCGCAATAATATTACTAATTAATAAGGAAAAAATTATTGATAAAAAGTTTTAATGGCTGTCGTTTTATGTTTAAAATAAACTTTAACATATCGTTTAATTAAAAATGTGTTGTTTTATTATCACATTTTCCTTTTTTGACTTTCTTTTTTATGTAACAAATAAAAAACGAAAAATTAAAAATTAAAATTGCAAACAACTAATTGATACGAAATAACAAATATAAAATAATTTATATTTAAAATTAATATTTTAAAAAAATAAAAATATAAAATATAACCTGATATATTAATAATATATTTATTTTTTAAAATAATATATAATTCTTTTAATTTAAAATTTAAAAATATATTCTACCTTCTTTCCCCTCCAAAAATTTCTTCTTAAACATATTTATAATAAATAAGAGAACCAATTAGAAAGGCAAAAATACAGGGTGAAGAGAGTGTTATACATCTACCCTGTAATGTTTTTGACACGAGACAAATGAACGACATAGCATTTTCCTCCAGCAGCTCTGAAGTAGATAGCATGTCTCTGTCACATTGTTTTTCGATTTGAAATTAGAGAAGATGGCATTTCCCTCTCCGCCTTCAATCTGCAGATTTACAATTCCACAGAATGCCACAGCTCAACCAATTTGATAAACAAACCTTAAAGCCGACAAAACAAATGATATAAGAATCCCAACCAAACCAAACCCACCTGTTATTAACAAACACCACTTAACATCTACGATGAAACGAAACCACATTTCCCACCATCATCGGCCGCGCAAATGGGTAATGGTCATCCCCACCGTCGCAATATCCATCGTGCTGTTCACGCTCCTCCTTCCCCGCACCAAACCCTCTTCTTCTGCTTCTTCTTCTTCATCTTCTTCTTTTTCTTCTTCTTCTTCTTCTTCTTCTTCTTTCAATTTGACAACCCATTTGGGTTTTCCAAAACTGCCCAGATTGGCGTACTTGTTGACAGGAACAAAAGGGGAGGGAGCACAGCTTAAGAGGGTTCTTCAGGCAACGTACCATCCCAGGAACTACTACCTGCTCCATCTTGATCTAGAAGCTTCCGACGCAGAGAGGCTTGAGCTTGCCAAATACGTCAAGGCTGAAACTGCTTTTGCGGCGTTTGGGAACGTCATGGTTGTGGGTAAGGCTGATTTGGTAACTTACAAGGGCCCCACTATGATCGCTTCTACCCTTCATGGAATTGCCTTATTGCTCAAGAGGGTTAAGGACTGGGACTGGTTTCTCAACCTCAGTGCCTCCGATTATCCCCTCCTCTCCCAGGACGGTCAGTGATTCACTCTTTCTTAGCTTTTGTCATGAATGCTACATGACAATCGTACTATTCTGTTCTTGTTCTATGTCCTTCTTTCTCCTAACATGACAATTATTTACTAATAACATGAAAGGTTACACAAATAACTTAAATTGGATGCATTTCCCTTTTGCCTGGGCTCTAAATTACATATATGCAACAGAATGCTACACAGCTAGCGTATATACCCTCACTTTCTGAAACTGTTTTGTTTCCAAAGCAGAAAAATGACAAAAATGAATAAAAGAAAAACTGACCCCAAGACTTTGTTTGGGAGTTAATTTTAGGTGAAGAAGAAGGTGTATTTGATGGTAATCCTTGTTTGAGGGTTTTTAAATGTGAGGAGGAGTTTCTATAGACCCTCCATAAACTCATGTTCCCCCAAATTGGAAGGTTTTTTGTTGACCCTCGTTCTCCCTTCCTTTCCTTTCCTTTCCTCTCCCTCCAAACTCCCAAACAAAGTCAAGTGAGCCATCTATTCCGTTCCACTCATATCAGTTGTAAACTGATAGGAATCTGGATTCAATTGATTCAGCAAACCAGGATCCAACCCACCCAGTGATTACTAAGGATTGGTCTATTACTGAAAGGCCCCTCTACAAGCATATTCTCAAAGGTCCAAGAATAGGGTTTAGGAGGGAGAGTTAGTTAGAGGAGAGAGAGAAAAACATATCTGATAAGATTTGTTTATGTAAGACATTTGTTGGATCATAAACCTTGTGTAGTCGATGTTGTGCTTGGGGACAGGATTTCTCCTTAGCTGGGAGCTTGTGCTCTTGCTATTTCCTGCATCTTCTTACATTTTCTTAGCAATAATACAGTGTCTGTTCTTCCAATTCTCTTTTGAGCTCTTATCTCTTTAGACAAGAATCTTCATCTATCATAAACATCAATGTCACAAAATTAATTTCTGTAGTATGCTTCTACAAAGTAGCAAGAAAAAAAATCATTTTTAATCTTTGTGCTTTGGGTGCATAATAATCATAAATGAGAAATTTATGGTTCATTGTTTCCTGCGCATGGATACTAAAGAAGGGAAATGTTTTTAGTTCTCATTTGATCATTATCACTGAACTTTGTTGCTGTATGTCCAATATATCAATGAGTACTTTCCTTCAGTGTTTTGGGTTCTTATAGTTGGATCCAAGTCTGTCGTTTCACAAATACATGTTCTTCAGTTTGCTGACATTTTGCCTTATAACTTCATGCTTCAGATCTCTTGCACATCTTTTCATTCTTGCCCAGGGATATAAATTTCATCGAGCATACAAGTAATATTGGTTGGAAAGAGTGAGTATATTATCGATCCATGGATGCTCTCAGTTTGTTACAAACTATTTGTTTATGATTTTGTATTGTAAATGTGATATTAGATATCAAAGAGCTAGGCCTATCATTATAGATCCAGGCTTATATCATTCAAAGAAATCTGGTGTTTACTGGGCTAAAGAGAAGAGATCTGTTCCGTCTTCATTCAAGTTATTCACAGGTATTAGATTTAAGGTTTCTACAGTTTTGGTTTTCTTATTTTCTATTAGGGCCCAGGTTGAGTAAACATGTAGATAAATATTTATAAGCGAAGAAGAGGAAGAGGGAGCTAGGGAGAGAGAAGAAAAGAAAGAGGCTAAAGGAGGAGGTGGAGGGAGAAAAGAGGTCTGGTGTGATAGAAAAAGAAGAGTGAATAGTGATAAAGGGAAATGATAAAAAAATGAATAGAGTTAATGATTTTTTTTAAACAGATTTAAAAGTTAAAGACCAAAATATAACAGAAAATAAAAAGATAAAGAGTCAAATTGAAACAAAAAGTTAGAGGACTAATCTACTAAATTTTCCTAAAATATTCTGAATTTTTCTAAAGAACTTACACTTTATAATTTCAAGTATATGCTTATATAAACATGAACTAAACGATGTATGTATACTTATTAATTTTGAATTCAAATAGTTTTAACATGTAATCAAGAGCCAAAACAGGTTTTCTAAAGTATTAGATAATTAATAGATATCAAATAAAGTTAAATAAAAGTTTATAGAGATTTTTTATGTAGGAATTTAATTTAGCAAGCATATACTTATTTGATTAGAGCAGAAACAATCTAAGAAATAATCAGATACTCAAGGGATATGTCTATGGTATTTTAGTCATCTAAACTGCAATCATGCCAGGTTAAGGACTCTTTTAATCAAATTTGAATACCCCATGTCACTTACTACCCTGAAAATGTGTCCCCTCTTACCGGACAATGGGACTAAATGTCTATCTATTCTCTACTTGTTTCCAACTGCTCCTAATCATCTCCCAATATTTTATATCCTTCAAAACTCTTTTTGATCTCCTTGCTACAACTAGCTTCTTACTCCTTCCTTATAGAAATTCTCGTGGACTCTTACTGATGTGAATTAATATGATTTTTCCTTGAGTTAGTTCAATTAGGTTAAGAAATACTGAAAAATGGTTCATAATGATTGTGAGATAATTTGAGCAAAAATTAGGATTCCAAATGCAAACAAACAAGAGAAAAAAATGATGAAGAAAAGAGAAGAGAAAAAAGCATTATAAACTCAATTCAATAGAGAATACAAAACAATAAGCTAAGTGTAGAATCGTCACAAGAGTGTGAAGAACCCTTGATAAGATGCAAATAATGATTTTTATCAAGAACCTTAAGAGGCACATGAGCTCTCTCAAAGAGGTAAACTTTCAATTCTTATTCAAAACTCAAGTTGCCTCCTAAAAGAGTTTTATATGAGTATTTATAATGAAAATTGAAACTCTAAAAGACTTGGTAACTAATATGACTAAGCCCACTAACAATAATTTAAGTAATAAATCTAAGAGGCTTTAATAATTAATATAATCAAGGTCCCTAAACATAATAAAATATATAACCCCAAAAATAGACTTGATAACAATAGTAGTTCTAATCTAAGACATAAGAAACTATTTTATTAAAACATAAAATTCTACCTGAAAATGCACATTAAAATAAAGATTGGGTTAACATAAATTGAAACTGACCTTAATCTTCATTATTTTCAATTACAACACAAGAGACTAGTCTTGGATTCTCCACTTTTACATTCTCAGGTGCCTTGAACATAGTCATTAACATTTAAGAGAGCTTATTTGACTTTCTTTATTTTTATTCTCGTCATAGGACCTCCAAACCTTTATAAGAGATCAACTCCTTTGTTTCTTTCTTTCTTCATCTTTGTTCCTTGTTGGTTCCTCTCATTTATTATTGCTAAGAGGGAAAGAAAATTAGATGAAGAGAAGAGAGGGTTTTGAGGCTTGGGGTTGGAATGTTGATGATTTGGTGAGTATGAGTTACAGTTTCATTCAAGGGAAGAATAAAATGTTTATGCATTGGCTCTTAATCCTTCTTCACATTTTTGGGTGTGTGAAATATGCTATGCTATGGATTAAACTTAATCTTGGCTAATGGAGTATGCAACACAACATGCAGTCGTTAATTTTAATTGTGTGCATGAGTTAATGAATTGTAGGCAATTGTAAGGATTTGAATTATAGTTAATGGTTTTCTCTCATGGAGACTCTAGGCTGAGGTCAAAATCACATGTTATCTCGTAGAATCATGTGATTCTACAATCCTGAACCACCATGTCATGCTAGCTTGCAAGCAAGATCAAAGATTTGTAGGATCGTGTGGAATCCATGGCAGAATCGGTTGACACGCGTGATTCTACCATGTCCATTTTAACGTGTTTTTGTGTTTTGACCTGCAACCCTTTTTTTTACTCAATTGCTTTATAGTTAGTTAGTTGTCAATAGTGCGGCAGTGTGTGGCGGAGCAGCCTTCGGCTACCACAGACCTGCCATAGCGGAGCATTTTGTTGTGACAACCATTGCAGCTGTATTTCCGGCCATGACAACTTAACTCACAGCCTTTTGGGTTTTTTATGGGTAAAATAGACTTTTCATCTTTTAGAAATAAACTGACTTTTCCTTTTTGCCCTTAAATTAAATGACCATATATTAAGTTTTTTAAAGGTAAAATAATCTTTTTACCAATTTTCATAGTACATCACCTAACCCATTTTCCATATCCCTTTCTAATCTACGCTCCCTTCTCTCATCTCTGTTCTGTCTTTGTTTTCAGTAGGCCTGTCTCTCTCTTTGTTTACAGGGTAACTCCCTCCCTCATCTATCTCTCTTTTGCTTCTTTCATCTTCATATTTATAATATTTATACTATTTTATATGCATACATATAATTTTGTTAGATCTTACGATCGGTGTTATATCCTATGAGTTACAATCTTTGACCTCCTTTCCGATCTTATATAGGATCTTGATTTTGACTACCATGATAATTAGAATATTAAGAAGGTAAAGGTTTGAATTATCCTAACAATTTAAATTTTATAAATATCTATAACTAAGTTCTTTAGGTAATTTTTTTAATATCTAATAATATAGTTAAATTAAAATTACTAAGTTTACAAATTTAAATTCTCTAATAATTTAACTAGTAATATTCTAAAATTGTAAATTTCTTGGACATTACACAAAGCAACACCCTTGTTTGCCATTATTAGGATTTTAATATAGGTCCGATTCAAATATTAGGGAGATAAAAGTGTTTGAGCTCTTTAATTTTTTTTGTTACCCTGGGCTCCTTTTTTTTTTTCTTCTTGATTTTTTTTTTTAATGCCATAGGTCTAATTTTTTTTGTAGACCCTATTTTTATTTGGGCTTTTTATTGTTTTATATTTGGATCTGAACACTGAAACCATATTAGAATTTTAATATGGGTGCAATCCAATATTGAGGAGGGATATGGACCCTGATCTAATATGGGTCCAATCCAATATTGCGGAGATAAGAGTGTTTGGGCTTAAGCTTGACAGGTCCACTTCTCTATATTTCTTTAGGCAATTTTAGATTGGAACCCCCTTACTTATATAGCTTTTGATTTGTTGCTAGCCTACCAACTTGGGACTTGATATCTCATCACGTATACAGATCATTTTGAATCTGGCTCACAGCACTGCTATTAATTTAAGGCCTTTAAACCTCTGAACAATTTTTTTGTTTCTTGGAGATTTATCTAAAAATATTATATATTGTTGTCTACTTTTAGAGGTTACATAAAATCTCTATATAGTTTTTTTTTATTTTCTTTGGAAGACTGCAGTGGAATTATCTGTTTAGTCCATAGCAATGTTTCTTGAAACATGACAGGGTTTGTTCGTGGTTTTAAAATTATGTTAATTACGTAGAGCTTTAGAGCATAGTAAACATACTGTATGCATAGAAAGTGCAATTTGGTGTTCAACAAGGAGTTGACCAACAGTGAAACAATGTAAGAGATCAGTTTTTGATCGGTCATCACTTACATGTAGAATTTTGAAATGCTTACTAACTGTTTTTGCTAACGTTATTTTTGGTTTTCAGGCTCTGAATGGGTTGTCCTGACAAAATCGTTTCTTGAATTTTGTGTTTGGGGTTGGGATAATCTTCCACGCACTCTCCTTATGTATTACACAAATTTTCTTTCATCCCCGGAGGGCTACTTCCATACGGTCATTTGCAATCACAAGGACTATCAAAACACGACTATCAATCATGATTTACGTTATATAAGGTGGGACAACCCACCAAAGCAGCATCCAGTGTCATTGAAATTGGAGCATTTTGATGACATGATCCAAAGTGGTGCACCTTTTGCTCGAAAGTTTGCAAAGGATGACCCAGTTCTCAACAAAATTGACAAAGAGCTCCTGCGAAGATCAGATGGTCACTTTACACCTGGGGGTTGGTGTGTAGGCAATCCTCTTTTGGGAAAAGACCCCTGTGCAGTTTATGGAAATCCAATTGTTGTTAAACCTACTTTAAGATCAAAGAAGCTAGAGAAACTAATACTGAAACTATTAGATTCTGAAAAATTTAGGCCGAAACAGTGTAAATAGTAGTCCTGTTACTGCAACGTGAAATCTATATCATCCAAGTTTTATTGGTATTTTTTCATCTGTTCAAATTTAACATTTTAAATTGCTATGAAAAAGGGGTAATTACACTGACCTTCGTTGAGGTTAGTGTTAATTTTATCCTAATTGAAAAATCACACTAATCTTTTTTCCATAAGATTTGTTGTGTTATAGTAGAAGGCACATCATTAGGCATGAAGGGAAGCATAGAATAGTAGTGAATGGGCAGTGGAAAGGGTCCAAACGGAGGTGAGGGGGATGATGGTGGGGATTGGTAAAAGCCGGGGGCATCTTGAAGGACAAGGCTGTATCGTAACTTTATTTCTGAAAATGGAAGAAAGGGGAAAAAGACATAAACATTAACAAGGCACTTTGGAATTTTTATAGTTAAAAAGTTTTTTCAGAATAGTTAAGATAAAATAAAAGAGTGCTTATTAAAATCGTTTCATTTGTTATTCATGTTTTAAATCCCAAATTTTATAACAAACATTATACAAAATATGCAAAGAAATAGAAGGGTGTTTCAGAATTCCAGTAGAAATTCACCAGTCACAAAAATGGAAAGGAAAATATTAATGTGAAAAGGAAGTATCAGGAAATTAAATAAAGGAAGAGAGTCCCGAAAGTTTACTTGGAAACAGAAGAAAGATAAAAGAATTGAGGAAATTAAGATAATTGTCCCTTTAAGTGCCGTGATTTCAACTCTTTCTTTCCCCGAGCTTATTGGAAGTATGGTTAATAATGAAAAAACATCGTGATGAGCAAGATCCTTTGAAAAAGGAAAAATGATGTTCTTAGACATGAGTGAAATATTTTGGAAACTAATGATTCTAAGATTTTTTTTTTAATTGAAGAGTTGAATGGATTAATTGATGCAATCAAAATTTACAAGCAGAAAAAGTTGAACTTTTGAGAGAAAAAAATAACAGCACTAGGAGATTTTGAAATTTACTAGTACAAAATACACTTTAGTCTTTTAACTTTATATTTTATTTAATTTGATCCTGTTTTTTTTTTAGTCATTTTAAATTTTCAAACTTAATTCAAATAAATTCATCAAGCTAACACCATAACTAACAATATTGACGCCTTCTCATTGAACTATTATATCCTTTTTTTTGTATTAAGAATAATAAAAGAAACGTCTTCTCTGAATTTCTGACATCTTTCTCTTTCTCTTGCAACCACAGTGTATGCCTATTCACTCTCGCCCCATCCACCACCAAATGACCAATTGATTTCACCCTCAAAAGCTTCCCACATGCAGGTACAATGATGGTGTGGTGGAGGAAATCAGGAAAAACAAGACAACAACAAACAATCTATAATAGAAAAAGATAGACCTAATTTGGATAAACTTATAAATGAGTTCTTTTAAAAAAATATTAATATAAAAAAATAAGTAAAATTTCTTATTAGTTTGAAATAACTTGAAATCCTCAAATTTTAGAAAAGTTAAATCAAAGTGCTTCTAAAAAAACTGAGAAATATAGGTTGATGTTAACTTTCAAAAAGAGTTTGATTTATTTTACTACTCAATTTTTTACTCTTATAAGTATTTATTGAGAAATTTATCCAGTCTGAGCCAAAATGTTTAATGAAATTAAACATAGTTAATGAAAAATAACTTATTCAAAACACATTTACATATTAGAGGATAATAAATAAAATAAAAAAATTAGATCAAATCAAAGCAAAAAATAAAGTTAAAAAATTAACATACTAATTTTACCTAATTTATTTGACTGACACTAACAAAGCTTCCCGGAGTTGCGGGATATGGTAGAGAGAGAGTATGTATAATTGGAGAAAAGAAGTGAAATAGCTAAATTTGAAACATAGTATGTTAATCGAATGTTTCACACTATTATTAAGGACTATAATTTATATAACAGAAATTGATCTCTATCAACAAAGTGTTCTATGTTCACCTTTTACGCACAACTGGGTTCGATAGCTCCATGGGATAATGTCTAGCCCTCTTCTATCTGAACAACATCCTTCCCCTAGCACATTTACGAATTCTAGCAGTGCCACAAATCCATAAACATCACTTTTCATCCACTTCAATGATAAGCATAATCTGTTAGGAACATGATTGCAAGATCGACAACTTAAAAAGTGAATTTATTTCCAAAGTATAAAAACACTTGCCATGGTTAAGTACAAGATTGTAAAGAATCAAGAGTTTAGAAATGGTTACATAGTTGAACATATTCTTTCCAATACCCTTGGTGAATTTCATGTGGGACCCACTAAATTATGTTGGATTGCATTGCAAGGATCAAAACTACTTCTCACTACCCCCACCATTCTTAACTAAAAATCAAAATTAAGCTCCTATCAGTTGCTAGTATGATTAATTACTGAAAGAAAACAACTTCACAATTATCAACTCTTGTCCACTAAACTAGGTAAAATTTCGCTCTTAACTATCACTTCTAATACCAGAAGAGCAAATCAGATAACTCAACTACTCCCAAACAAAATGAAAGTAAATTTGTTAAGATCAAACCTGAATTGAGTGTCTTCACACGGCTAACTAATAGCACCACAAGCAAAAACTGTTTCACTGGAGCTGTTGGAAATTTTTGTTACCAAAATGCTTAATTCGCTGCAGGATATCTGGCCATTCGGCACTATTATGCTCTTGGCCGAAGAAAGAGTCTAAATGAAAGAATTCACTTTGGCTAGGATAGATAAAGGAAACCCACAACAAAAAATGAAAGAACTACAGCTTCTTTGAAAGAAATCATGATGAAATTGCCAAGGAAATTTCATCAACAATGGAAGTTGAGATCGATTTGAAACCATTCAATAACTTTCTGAAAGACTCATTTGCAGAGGAATTCTTAAGCTGAATGTTACATAATCTTTTTGTGTGAATCACTCTTGAACTGGAGTATAGGTTCTCTTTAACTTTCCATTTACCAGAATATCAAATGTAGTGTTGTCAGGCATTAGACCTTTATCAAGCATCTCATCATGCAGTCTAAAAGCCTCTTGAAGATTTCCCTCCCTAAAGTGGCCGGCAATTAAAGTGTTATAAACAAGAACAGTAGGAGTAATATTATTCCCATTCATTTCCTTAAGAATCTTGCCTGCTTTTTCTAGTGATCCATGGTTACAGAGTCCATTTATCAGAACAGCGTAGAAGAAGATATCAGGCACAACACCGCTGGAAAGCATCTCTGAGTAAAGATCTAAAGCAAAACTCAATTTTCCCTCTTTTAAAAGTCCACCAATCAGTGAGGTGTATATTTGTAAATCACATGGAATCTTTGCCATTTTCTTGTGCAAGTTAAGTGCTGCTTCCATATTATCCAATTTTCTAAAGCCACTAATCATGCTGTTATAAACAATTGCGTTTGGAGTCAAACCAACATCCATAAGTTCAGAGAAGAATTTGCATGCATTTTCCATGTCTTTCATTTTGCAGAAACCATTAATTAGAACACTATATGCAATAATATCCAATTCCAAACCCTTGTTTTTCATCTCATTGTGCATTTTCAAAGCAAGATCAATCTTGTTACTTTTGAAAAATCCTTTAATCAAAGTAGTGTAAGTGATAACATTTGGCAAAATTCCACTCTCACACATCTTCTTGTAGGCAGACACTGCAGAATCAATTGCACCTTCCTTCATAAATCCATCTATGATGCAATTATATGTCATAGTAGTGGGAATAAAACCCTGCTCGACAAAAGCATTCAACTTATCCTTTGTCTCAGAAACCCGGCCAACTTTACACAAGCCTTTTATAATGGTGTTAAATGTGAAATCTGTGGAAGCAATATTTGCAGCCACCATTTGCTCAAACACATTAAATGCACGCTCACAATCACCCTTTATGAAAAATCCATCCATCAAAATAGTGTACGTAATGGCATTCGGTTTTAAACCACTTTTGAGAATACAATTCATCACACTATTTGCATCATCCATGCATCCTTTTCTGCAGTGACCAAGTATCATGTTGTTGTAAGAAACCAGCGAAGGTGCAATACCCTTACCAATCATCTTGTCCCACAGATGACAAGCCTCATTAACCTTACCCAATTCACAGAGTCCATGTAAAAGAATGTTATATGACACAACATCAGCAATTCCATTATCAACTGCCTCTTCAAGCAATCTATATGCATTTTCTAGCAAATTCTGTTTCTGGAACCCTTTTAACAGAGAATTTATAATAAAGCCAGTGGGTTGGATGTTCATGAGTTTCATCCTAGTGTAAAGTTCGTTTGCCTTGTCCATATTCCCAATCTTAGAGCAACAGTCTATCAAAACTGAGAAAATAGCCACATTGGGAGTAACCCCAGCCTCAACAATCTCATCAAACAACTGCAATGCACTATTCACATCCCCTTGCTTACAATGCCCTTTCATCAAGCTTGTTGCAACAATTACGTTCACAGGCATACCGCTATTCACCATCTCATCCTTAAGCCTCAACGCCTCCACAAAATTTCCCTGCTTGACACAAGCACCAATCACAGACGTATATGTACCCTCTGATGGCACCCAGCCCAACTCTCTCATCTCCTTCAACAGCTTACAAGCCAAACTAAATTTCGGCCTCTTACAAGCAGCCTGAATGACAATACTATACGCAGCTGCATCAAGTTCCAACCCTCTACAAGTAGCCTCTCTGAAATGCCTCTCAGCCTCCTCAAACATCCCTCCTTTCAAACAGGCGCGCATTAAAGCATGCAGGGTATAGCGATTACCAAAGATTTTTCTCTCAGACATTTCATCATACACGCTGCGCACATCGTCGACCATTTTTCTCCTAACCATTGCAGTCAAAAGTATGTTCATGATTGAAACCCAGGGGAGCACATCATGATCTAACATGGTTCTAAAACACTCAACAGCCTCTCTGATCTTATTAGCTCTAACATAACTATTCAACAGATAATTGAAAACCCGCGAATCAGATTCAAAACGGTACCTTTCCGCACACTCCACCAAGTGTTCCACAAGCACCCTTGCAGCAGGAGCTGAATCTCCAAAGACATAGTTATTGAGCAAATACTTAGCATCTTCATAAGTGTCAGGACAAGAAGCAAGAATCTGAAGCAACAAACAGAGAACGTCAACGGTTTTCAGAAATCCCTGTTTTCTCTCAACTCCTTTGAAAAACAACAAAGCGGATTTGGGGTGGGCCTTGTGGCTCAAGAGGGTCTCCAAGACATGATCTCGCGACAGATTCGAAATGGGTTCGGAGTTTGATATTGGCGTGTTTGTGGTGGAAAGGGCTTCTGAGGAGTGTCGTGTGAAAAGGTGAAGGTTCTTCAGAGGAATTGAGGTCAGGGAGTTGGGAAACCTTATTGGCATTGTTGAGGGAGAATGAATGGGCAACCCTAAGTCAATTCAAACTTCCAAAGGTTTCGGAAAATTTTTAAAAAGTTTGCACTCACCTCTTCCCAACTCACCTCTTCCCAAAACGAAACCTCTCCTATCAGAGTCATTGAACGACGAGGAAAAAGAGAGGAGACCAGAGTAACATTATATTTTTATTGTGTTAATAAATAAAAGAATTTTATTAACCTCATCGTTAAATACGAAAATAAGTAATTAATAATATTAAAATTTTATTAAAAATATTTATTATATTTTTATAATTTTAATATTATATATTTTTTTATAAATTTTTTTATTTATAAATATTTAAACTCACTAAAAGTTAATGTTAACAACATCTTAAATAAAATATTAAATTAATAAATTTATTTCTTAACTTTCAACTTTGTTTACGTTTGTTATTATTATTGTTTACTTAATTTAATTACAATAATATTTAATTTTATATATTAGAGTAAGATTGAAAATTATATTTAAATTATTTTAATTATAAATACAAATTTAAATAAAATTTAATTAATAATAATTAAATTAAAATTAAAAAACATTTGATTCACTAACTTGAGTTCAATAAATATCATGTGTACTATTAATAATAAGAATTTCTTTTAATATGATTAGTGTTTAATTAATGATCTTAAATTATATTAAAAATATAAACAAAATATCTTTGTAATTGAATTAATTCGTGAGTTGATCTATAAATCATTGTCAATTTATTTACTTTGTTTGTTTTTTCAATTAATCATAATCAATCAACTTTCAACTTCTTTGTAAATTATTATTAATTCATATTATATTTAATATGCATATGATATTTAATTTAGTTTGTCATGTTTTAAAAACACAGAAGATTTACTTAGTATTGCATTAATTTTACATAATTAATTTGATTGAAAATAAATTCAATCAAATTGACACCATTGCGTAAGACCAATGTTCATAACTAAATTTCAGTCACATATAGATTTAGATTAGTATAGACTACTACAGTTTTTTTTTTCTTCCTATTTTTAGCATCTAAGTTAGTTTCTACCTTTGAATTTCTGTTTTTTGAATTTTATTTTGGGAATTTCTAACATGTTAGTTAATTCAGCTATTGTTAATTAATTTTATTTTTTTCATAATTGTGTTTCCTGCATATATCGCATTTTTTGCATAAATGTTTTAATCAGTAGTTAATTAGATTTTCCTTTTTACTTGCATATCTATGTTGTTCCCTTATTTTGTACAATTTAGTCATACTACACACCGTATAATTCTGCTACATAAATTTGACATTCTGCCAAATCCTATTTGCTCCTTTGTTTTTGGACGTATCTGCATAATTCTATATAACTCACATACTCAGTTTTAGTCTGCATAATTTTGTTGCATTCTGCATTTTAAAACGTAGCATATTTGTGCTTTAGTGTTATTGCATCATTTTACATTACTGTAACGATTTAGGATTTGAAAACTCTGTTGAATATTTTACGTGTGAATTGAAATAAATCAATTTTTGTAATAACTTTAATTTAATTTTAAGTTCATTTGATGCTAAAATATTTAACTATGTTATTTAGCTTATATTATAAATAATTATTGTTATTAGACTTATTTGTAATAATTTTATAGTTATTAGTAGATATAATTTTATGGTTATTGTTATTGGACTGAATCATAGTGGATAGACTTAACCTATCTTGTTATCAATGTGAGAGACCCCTTGCTTCTAATTACTTCAGAGCAACTGATGTTTGTTGTTAGCAATCTACACTAGCAAGTGCACTAGGATTGCAGCAAGTGATGAGTAAATTTAAGATCCAAATATCGTCTTCACAGGGAATTTGGATTCAAGTATCACTTCATAGAATTATAACCATTTAAGCTTTTTCGAAATTGTAAGGAGAGTGGTAACATCTAATAACAGCAAACTGGAGCAATTAAAAGTAAAATGAACTTGCAGAAAATAAAACAATGAACACACAGTTATGTGATAACAGAGGGAGAAACCATAGCTAGGGAATTGCTTCACCAAAACTCCAATGTTTAATCAATAAAGTTCTGAATTAACAAGCAATTGGAAAGAATGACAATCAGTTCCACATTATACTATTCAGAGGTTAATTCCTTAACTCAGTGAACCTAACATTCAATTAAACCATTCTAATTCCTTAGATCTAATTCAATTCAATGTTGCTTTAAGTGTAAGAAACCAAAAGATTGCAAGATCAAAGTTCCTTATCCCTAAGAAAACTAAAATCTCGGTGATTGGTTCAGATATGAAGAACAAGTTCAATTTCCATTGACAAAGGTTCCTCTGAATTTAGTTAATTAAATTTCCATTCAATTCACACGTGAAGTTCAGAATCAATCACTCAATCTATTCCAAAGCTTGAAATCCAGATCCAAATCAATTCAACATGTTCATTTCAGATCTACAATCCCTAACTATGAACGAATTACACAGCCATGGCAGCAGAAGAAGAAAAAGAAAGAGAAGAAGAAAAGAAGAAACTCAGAAACGCCATGGAAGCTTGTTCCACTCCAATTCCTCTTCGTGAAGCTCCAAGATCTGAATCCCCACTCCTCTCTCTCACTTCCTCTGACCAGAAACTAACTAAAAAAACTGAAAATGAACAGAATCCCTTTTTTCCGGATCGCTTCTGGTATTTATAAAATTTCCCAGATTTTCACGTTATCACTTTTATGAGAAATAGTAGTTACGCAGAGAGTTTTTGGTTGCGCGTTAACACTTTTCCCAGAAATAGTGGCCACGCGCATTTTCCTGATATTGAGAGCTCTCTGGAACTATCACTCTTGATGATAAAAGTGACAACGCAGAGCCAAGGTAGTTGCGCGTTATCACTTTTTCTGATAAAAGTGACTACGCGCAGCTCGCCAAGTTGAAGACTCTCTGGAACGATCACTTTTGATGACAATAGTGGTAACGCCCAGGCTTCACTTCTTCTTTGAGCTCTGAAGTGATCACTCTTACGAACAATAGTGATCACGCCCAGTCTGCAATTTCTTATTCTTGAGTTTTTGGAGTCCAGACTTGCTTCTTTCCTCTTCCTTGTCATCAAACTTCCATGAATATGATCCTTGCTCAATTTATTCCTACAAAAACAAGATTAAAAACTTAATTCCTAAGCAAAAATTTCACAATTGCTAAAATAACTACATATGTAAACAAAATTCAATTCCTTCTCTTTTTTTAAGTTTTTCTGCTTTCTTTATACAGTTTTCTTATCATTTGTGTTAGAATTATGCTAAAATATCAGTCAAAATATGGATTCATCACTACCCCAAACTTGAATTTTTGCTTGTCCTCAAGCAAATCAAATTAAACCAAGGGTAATTCTTCCACTTTTCAGAAACCATTTCACAACTGCTATATCAGAATTTTTCAATTTGCAATTCTGTGTTTTCTGCAAAATTTTCAATCAAGATATTCATCCAATTACTCATCATTGCAATCTCAATGCATTCATCAAATTTTAAGCAAGAATTGCTATCTAAGTGAATATATCAGCCAAGTTCATGTGAGAAACATTAAATTTATGATCACTTCTCACTGGACAGTGTTTCCCTCAATTCTCAACAGTGTTTGGGTGCTGTTTTCACTCTAAATCATCAATTTCACTGCACTCTACCATATGCTTGCCCAATTTCTCTATCTCCTCTGCTTAGTACAGCCAATCACACATCAAGAGGACTTTTTACAGTTTATAACAGGGCTTAGGTTAAGGTAGATACTGAACAAAATAAGAAACAAGTTGCAATTTCAAAAGATCAGAAGCATTTTGAGTGAATGACTTTAAAACTAGTCTGGTTTAGCATCAATTCACATTAAATTCCTCAGTTATGTAGCAGACTAATCATTTTTGTGCCGCAGAATTTTTATTTTCCTTTTTTTTTTCTCTGCTACAGTTTACTGCTAATTTCTTCTTTTTGATCTTCATTTTGCTCTTTTCAACTCAGATTCTATTTTTCAACATTTTACTGCAACATGTTTAACTCTTCCATAGTTTTGCTGCATAATTTTTAATGTTTCTGCAGCACTTTTGTTTTTTCGGTCTGACTTTTTGAACTCAACTTAGATAGCTTGCTACTCCCTTACCCTAAACTTAAAATTTTGCTTGTCCTCAAGCAACTTAATTTGATGCTACCCCAAACTTAGCTTTAAAACTCATTCTTGATTAAACTCACAATGCCTTTGATCAATTTGAATGGTAAAATTGGTTTTTCAGCAAGGCGTGTAAGGAAGTTAACTCAAGAAAAGGGAATATTAAGCTCAAAAGGGGTAAACTAGGGCAATTAATCATAAGGGAAGGCATTTTAGGCTAACTAAGTAAATTAAACATGGCCTCTATCATGTGTGTGAGAACTGTAACATGCATATTCAATTAAGAACAAGGTCAAGTTCTAGAGAACGCAGTAAAATCTGATTAATCATACAAGGAAAGAAGTAGGTAGCTCAAGTCTCACTAGGCATTTATAAGTGATCATGTGGATTAATGAAAACACAATGCACTTTTCAGAAATATATGCACCTAGTGGCAACTGCCTCATTTTTGAAAATACAAGTGTGATCTCATTTTGAGAATGGGAAAAACAACTTAAAGAAAAATTTTCACACAGAATTCACAGCCAGCAGTTTATTATCTATTCTAGTATTTTGGTGTTTTTCAACAACAATTCAGTGTAATGTGAGGCTACACATGAATAAGAGGTAGAGAATGAAACCCCCCTTTCATGGCAGCTTGTGCAAGAGTCACCATCCAATGTGTGTGAGTGTTGTGTGTGATATTCTCTGCACAAAAACACCAGAATTCCATTAACTCGCAGCAAGATAAATGTATTTAGTTAAGAAGCTAATATAATTGCAAAATAGGTAAGTGAAAATTAAACCAAATTGTACCAATTAGTGATTACAACCCAAAAAGTTTAAACTACCAGAAATTTACAAATCTAATAACAGAATTTAAATTCCTAGACTAATCTTCTGCTGCATCTTCTTCCTCTGAGCTTTCCTCTTCAGAACCTTCTTCTTCTTCTTCTTCTTCTTCTTCCACTACCTCTTCAAATAGTGGCTGAGGAAAGTGGGTTCTGTATATTGGCATATTCTTGAAAACAGAAGAACGAAGGCACTGGGCATTCTCTGCTAAGTCTGGAGCATGATACATTTCTTATTTGGTCATTCCCAATTTCTGACCAATATTCAGCATAATACATTCCATTAGCATGACTCCAGCTTTGAGGCTATTATGTAGCTCAGTCTGCCTTTTAGCAAGTTGATTCTGCCCTTTAGCTAGCTGCTTCAGAGTGTCCTTCATCATCATTGGTTTCTCTTTCTTGAATTGTGAAGGAATTGGGGCTGCAGAAGTGCAGGAAACAGTTGCATAAATCTCTTTGATCAGAGCTGCAGAAATGGATGGTGCAGCTCTGATTTTCTCTTGATAATCACCAAACTCTACTCCTGCGTCTTCACAAAGTAGTGTAATTACTGAAGGAAAGGCTAATGAATCCCTTTTTGTCTTCAGTATTCTCAAGATACAGTCGCTTATTACCTCTCCCACATCTATGTAGATGTTGGAGACTATGGCAAAAAGTAGAGCAGCCCTCTTCACAGCTAGTGTGGAGCTATGTTTGACAGGCATGAACGAATTTAAAATAAACATGCTCCATACTTTGGCAAAGGGCAGAAGATTCTTGGTGACAATATGCTTTGGCTTCTTAGATTGGTTGAGCTCCCATGTGGTGCCTGGTTTTCCAATCCTTTCCAGAATTTGCACAAAATCAATATCTGGACTTTCCTTAAACGTTTTGAAGTCCAGTTGTGCAGCATGTTGTGCAGAATTAATTTCCAGCACCCTGTTGATATTTGCTGGTGAGAAGTCAATTCTCATGCCCTTGACCATAGAGCTGAACTTAGGGGTTCCTTTCCCTTTAAACCTCATGGCATTGGCATAGAATTCCTGAGTTATTTCCCTCCAACCCAGGCCAGCTGTTGCACAGAAGAATTCCCAGCCTCTTTTCTTGATTTCCTCTTTAAATTCAGGATAGTTGTTCCCAGCTATTTGGAATGCTCTGTCAGGAACAATTTTTCTTCTTAGAATATTGGCTCTGAAAAAGTTTTCATGAGCCAAACTTCTAAATCTCGGATCATGTGTGGCTGGTGGTGAGGATCCTGAAGGTACAACTATTCTTGGTGGAGGTGATGGTGTAGGTGAGGGTGCAGGTGCAGGAGATCTGGTTGAAGGTGGTGGAGAAGGTGAGGGTGAAGATGTAGGTGCAGATGATCTTGTCTGAGGTGAGGGAGAAGGTGAGGGTTCAGATATCTGAATAGGTGAAGAGCTTGAGACACCATCAGTTCTGGCCCTTTTTGATGCTGCAGCTTGGAGATTTCTGCTG